AGTGAGCTACTTTTAGTTGGATTGTTTTGTAGAAAGTGATCGTGTTAATGTACTATTTCACGGATAGAGTGTCTGGCGTACATAATTACACTTGAATTGATAATTTACGATTGAAGAGCGAGTGATATCGATTTAGTAGCGATCTAGTAGCATTTTATTAATTCGAGCATTTTAATTTCTAATTTTATCCTATGATAACATGCCTTACAAACAAATTCTTTTATGTCCGTTAAATTGTGCGTTCTGATTACGTAACCGTATGTAACTTTACGCAATTCTAACAGTGTATATACATACATAACTGCTTATAATAGCGTAAATAAATCGGTTAAGTAGTGGAAGTAGTTAATGTTTTAAATTTTATTGCTTCGATATACTTGTTTCAATTAGCGTAACAGATATTTCTTATAACGTTATAGGAGGAATTTAATTATATATGATTCACTGTGGGACACGATTACTAAATCGCATGGAAAGGAAAAAGGTGTGAACAGAATTACATACGTACATATTTTCTACATGCGTCACCATCTGCTTAAAGCAAATAAAAGTTTTGCACTTTATTCGGTTGTTCAGATGCAAATCTCAAACACGTACATACAGTGCTGGACAAAAGTATCGGCACAGCATGGTTGTGTGGTACAAGTGCTTATAACTACTAAACAAATTGATTTGAAGGAAAAACTTTTTCACATACTAATTTACTATCTATTCTAGTTTCTTACATAGTAGAAGCAATAATATAAATATATCGACTCACGAAACAATAACAAAAATGCATTTATTGAACATTTTATGGGTGGACAAAAGTATTGGCACACGATGCTAAATGTAGTATATCTGCATTTGTTTGAAAAATTTCCCATCGTCATTTTATAATCTAGTTAAGTGACATCCCGATTGTCACTTTTAACAACAGTCATCCTAAATTTCAGTCGTTTAGCAACAGGGAAAGTAAGAAAAAGTAATAATGTCAAGGAAAGCGAAAGAAACGACAAACGAAGGAAGAGAAATAATACTAAATTTGTATAAAATGCGAAAATCTTATAGCGAAATATCGCAAATCGTTAACAAAAGTCGTTTTGTTATTAGAAGCATTGTAAGACGATGTTCCGTCGTGGAACAAGGAAGACCCGTTACGGTCTTCCAACAGCCAGGTCTTAGGGTCGAACAATTCGGCATCGGAATTTTCCGCTCCATGCCTTCAGCATGTTTGACTGCTTTACCTTTTTTCTTTGACTTCTCGTGTCGCCGAACCCGAGAATCCTGGAAATCCCTAATTTAACGAAATTAGGCGACGGCTCTTAAGACTTGGCTGACAAAGGCCTGAGGGCTCCACGTGGTCCGTACACGTTGGAAGCCTCAGGCCCTCGCTAGGGGTAATAAACGACCAATGGGGTCACCAGCGCGCGGGTGGACCCCAGGTACCCCACCTTGGAGGAGAGGGTTTCCTCCACTATCGTTGTTTTTTGGGGGAACCTTCCCTTTCTCCAAGGTCACCGATTCGCGAACCAAGGGAACGCCCTTGGTCTAAAATAGCCAATTACATTTGGCGAGCTCCCGATTTTTCCTAAGACCGATCTTAGGAAAATCGAGGAGCTCACTTCCTTTCGAGACTTCAGAGACATCGGTTCTCTTCAAACACTTCCTTTCGACACGTCAGAGACACCAGTTCTCTCCAAAAAAACGAGACGCCACGTTTGCTTCGAAACGTCGAAGACACGATTCCTTTACGCTCGTGCAACTTAAACAGTTGCCCAAGATTAATTTGGCGGACAACATTTGCGAGGTCGCGAGACGGATTTACGACCCGTCGGAATTACGATATTCGATCGCGACGCGACAAAACAGACGATTTATAAATCAATCAGATTTTGATAGTGCGAATCGAAGTGGTCGTCTTCCCACGTTATCTGTTAGAGAAAAACGTAAAATTGTAAAGGAAGTGAAGAAAAATTCTAAATTAAACTCCTCGGAACTCAGAATGATATTAAATAAAGTATTAAAATATATATTGGGAAAAAATCGAAAGATGAGGGTTGAATTTGTTAAAGAATTTATAACGAAGTATTCACCATTTCGGAGCAACATACTGTTTTCAGATGAAAGCAAATTTAACATATTTAAATCCGATGGTAGAATATTAGCTTGGATCTACGAAATTTACAATCGAGTGTAAAACATGGAGGTGGTGGTTGGTATTGCAGGGAGGTATGGGGTTCCATGGCAGTATCTGGGGTTGGCGAATTAATTTTTATAGACGATATTATGGACAAATATATTAAAACAAAATTTATTCAAAAGTGCGGAAAAATTAAATCTCCCGCGGAATTTCAATTTCCAACAAGACCGCGATTCAAAGCACACCCCGCTTACATCGTACGCCATTGGATCATTTGTAATACTTCTCATTTCCTAAATACACCACCCCAGAATCCGGACATGAATCCTATCGAACATGTCTGGAACGAATTGGGAAAAAGGATTCGAAAACATCGTATAACAAGCAAAGCAGACTCGAAGAATGTTCATTTACAAGAATGGAATAAAATCGAGCCGGATTTTACAAAAAAGTTAGTCGATTCAATGCCCAAACGATTAAAGGAAAGGAGGGTCAACTAAATATTATTTAATTCCAAGTCATTTTTAAACGTTTTTATTCGTGTATGCCAATACTTTTGTCCACCCATAAAATGTTCAATGAATACATTTTTGTTATTGTTTCGTGAATCAGTGTATTCATATTATTGCTTCTACTATATAGACGAGTAGAGTATAAACTAGAATAGATAGTAAATGAATATGTGAAAAAGTTTTTCCTTCAAATCAATTTGTTTAGTAGTTATAAGCACTTGTACCACAACAACCATGCTGTGCCGATACTTTTGTCCAGCATTGTATGTATGTGCTACAAAAATGTAACAAAATTAAATTATTAGAATTATTTCTATATTACCGTAATAAATATTAACTACCTGTATCGGAAAACAAATAATTGACGTTAAAAAAATGATATTTAATTATGGTTGTTTTTACACGGTATAATAGACTGATTAAAAATTTGTTAATTTCGTTTATTTTTTTGCTAATTTCGTAACTACCTAACTACCGCATTGTGTTCGTGAAAAGCTACTTTCAATGATATTATCACGAGATAGATATAGTTTGATAAAACACGTTCACTGTATAATACAATTAAAACTATTAACGAGATTATGAAAAAAAATGTTCATACAGTAAATATACACTTGATAAAGAATTCCTTCCTCAAATTCATTTCTGCCGAGATTTCAAAATCATTCGAAGAAAATTACTTCGAGGAAAAAATTCTTTCCCGGTACAACTTTGCCCTGGGAAGTTTTCTCATATAGCAAAAAATACGGTAAACATTTGGGTGATATAATTTAGCCGAAACATTGTATATCGTGTATATCGACGAAGAGACTAGTATAAATTGACAGATATTGCATATGAATGTTATAAGCGGATATACATATTTTCATTAAAGATGTTAGGTTAAATATTTATTTTTATTTTTAATTATTGTACTAATTGAATTTAAAAGAAACTGAATAGCAAGTGAAAATTTAAACTAATTTCAATGTTTTAATCTGTATGATTCTGACAGTCAGGGGGATGTACATATATTGTATAATATTTCTGGAAAATTATTAAATAAATTGTTTTTCTATCGAGTAAACTTGATTTATGGAACTACGTATGATAGTTGAATTCTTGTAACACGTATGTACGTTATAAATTGATCGTGGTATCAAGAATAAAATGAAACGAAGATATAATCGTTAAGAAATTTATAAACATAAGTCTTCTTCGCTTCTTTATAGAAAATATTTACGTTTAAATCGTAAATTTCTTTTCATTTAAATCGAAATATATAATAACGATTAAGTTAATAACAGTAGAGGAATATATTATTCAGGAGAATAGGAAAGTTGAATAGAATTCTTTAATTCGATTAAAAGTAGCTTCAACACCTGATATTATGGTATAAAGTATCCAGATATGCATAATATATACATCTACGTATAATAACAGTATTACGATGTAGTATTACTATGTTGAATATTTGTTACTGAAATTTTGAGCAATACTGACATGAATTTCAATTAGCACGATTCGGTCTATATTTATCTATACAAAATATTCGTTTTGAACAGTTATGGTTGTGTGCATATATGTACATATATACCATGTGTGTAGCTTTGAGAAATGTGGGTCAAATGAGAGTGCGCATGCCAATTATAAACATTATGTATATACGTATGTACGTACGTGTCCATATAAAAATTCTAATAAATGTCCGAATATTCCTATGTCATAAGTGAGTCATATTCCATTATCGTTCGATATTAATTTTAGCATAATTGCGTCAACATCGTGAAAGGTTATTCGTAATGTAAATTTTCTATGCTTTAAAATTAAACATTATTGCTATAGTACAGGATGACTACAACTTTCCAACGAATGAATCGTGTTAACGTGAAATATTTGAAGAATTTTATCATACATGAGATGTATACAATTTATACGTACAATCCCGGTATACAATCTGCAAACATATATATCGTTAATATATATAATGGTAGTTTGTACGTACAAATATGGATGAATGATTCATGTCTACTCTATATGATGAAACGATTAATTCTACGAAGATCAACAGAAAGGAGAAAACGTTGCGATAGCTGTAACGCTTGTTGAGAACTGTTCCACGATTTTGGTGTGCATGCGTGTAACGCAACGCTACCAGAAAACGTGTTTGATAGTAGAAATATGCATGCAGACGTGCTAGCGTGTGGTTGCGCGTACGGATTCTACGATGTCTACCAAGTGCCAACTCCACGCTACAGTCAGTGTATTCGATACCCGCGATCAGTTAACGTGGTCAGTGCCCTCTCAACTACCAAATAGCAGTGCTTGTTTATTTCGTAGTTATTCTCACGTTTTTCACGCAGATATTTTTATGTATGAAAGACTTTTTCGAAACGGGAGTGTATATTTGAATTTCCTCTGTGGTATCGTAATCGTATCAGTGGTCGAAAGTCGTATCGGTGGTTAAGTGTCTCGAAACGGGAAGAGTGTGGTACCTATTTATCAACAATTTTTAAGGTTTTTTCATGTGGCGATCGTTCGTGCGATAAATTTTTAGACATGCGAAATCCTCGTAATTTGCTCGAAATCAAAAAGTTCTTTTTCTTCTTCTTACTCTTTTTTTCTTTTCCGTTACTTTCTTTTACCTCGATATTAAATGTTACTTGAATTAATATTCATCGTATATGGTTTTTTGAACATAATTGTTCGAAGATTTAAAACGTATATGTGTACGAATACAATTTCTTTCACACGTGATTCTGTTTTGTTAAGATTTTTAGCGTGGTTTGATTTGTCTTTTTCATATTTTTCATATTTTTCATATTTATCTTATGTGTAATCGCATTATGTATGGAAAACCAACCATCTATTTATACGATGCGTCAAGTAACGTATTTTTGGCATTTGTCTATGTAATTCCTAGATTTTGGGTACTACCCGAATCAAATTACCGGTGATTCATGCGACCAGACGTTCTCTTCGATAACCGGAATCAGTGAATCTATCTATCTATTTATCTATCTATCTATCTATCTATCTATCTATCTATCTATCTATCTATCTATCTATCTATCTATCTATCTATCTATCTATCTATCTATTTATCTATCTATATATAGGAGAAGTTTTATTTATAGACCGAAAACGGTTAACGTAATAGCTCTTAATAATTAACCTAAATGAGGAATTGTGCTGCGCAAAAAATGAAATGTCTTTCGGTCGTCACATTCTTGTTAGCATAAACAGACAGTTTGTTATGACTCTCAGAAATAGTATGTAGTTGCAAATTACTTGTCTATACCAGCTGACAGGCAACACAAGAGAAAAAAGTTCTCCGTACTTAACAAGTGCCTTAACAAGTAACAAGTTACCTTTCGGCTTGTGTTATTTTCCATATTTATAAGTACCGCATATCGTGTTTGACGTAGGTCAAGGGACACAGTACATATAATTTCATCGAATCGAAAATGCAGATTAGACCGTTGAATCTCGTCTCTGAGAAAATGAACAATTTTGTATCTAGATTAAAATAAGTTTCATTATATGTATATCTATAGTATACTGTATGTATGTACATACATGTATAAACATATGTTGTTTCTCTAAGAAATCAAAGAAATTTTATAAATAAAACGATAAAACAAATATATTTTAAGAATTAAGAAGACTCGAGTCCATTAGTATACTGAGTTGTTTACTTTTGTTGTAATTGGTTAATTACAGAGTTAAAATATTATAGAGTGTCTGTTTTATTTAGCCTCGGTGGAATATCTCCGAAATGACGAAAGATAGAAAAAAGAATTGTTTGATACGAAGAGAGATATAATATGGCATAAATGTCTTTTTCTATATTTAAAAATGAGGGAAGTGGTGGATGAGATAAGATCAGGATCAAGTTATTTCTTTTTTTTTTAATGGAATGCTATATTTTTTTATATATAATGAGAAAGCATCGTTGCTATCATTAATCTTACATCAAGAAGATGCTAACAGTGTCGTTTCGTTTAGTGGAAAGTTATAAAATTACCGAATTGTGTAAACGTTTATAGCACTTGTTTACACACAGGCATCATATCGAACATATCGGAGCCCATATTTTTTGTTACTTTGTGTGTGTTTCTTTATAGTTGATATTAACACATTTTCATATTTCTACCTATAGCCATGTATTATTTCGCACTAGCGAAAGTCGGGATATTAAATTTCAAATCTGACGTGTCGCCGGCATATTTACGTATTTACATATTTTTAAATAAATCACACGCACTGTATATATAAAATTATACGTTTTGGAACATTGTTAATCATTTTTATGATTAACTTTAGTATCGAATTGAATTCTAGATAATAAATATTTAAAAAATCTATTTTACTATACTTCCAGGAAATCATAAGATCGAACAAATAAGCATAGCAGAATAGTTTTCTTTTTATATTTGCAAAATGATACACAATATAATCGAATTGTTTCTTTATTCTTTAGATTCTGTTAAACGTCACAGATTATCGAGTCATAGATTAATGCAACGATGCCAATATGTTTCTCACTTGTCAGTCATTTTTGAACGCGTTGCATTGTTTCTATTTCGAGTATGACTTCATTCCTTATTTTTATATATTTCGTACAAATACCTTCATAATTAAATAATGGAACGTACAAATAGGGAAGGAAATATAATCCATGTATAATTATATCGATTTTACAGTATAGAAATTATTTAAAAGGATTTTTTGTTTTTATTTAAATAGATTTGAAATCTGGATTTTTACATCGACCAACATCATTTTTTATGTAAAAAATTTCAGCTTTACGAGATTGACAGGTGTTTAACCAAATTTGTAATGCTACAAAACCGAGATCAATAAATTGTTTTTCTTCTTATATTTAATGTTTTGACATCGACAAATTGACTTTTTATATTTAATATATACTTCTATGATGTTATGCATGCAACGGACCTAACTAATCTGAATCTTCGTATCCTTTATTTCGCAATAGTCGTGAATTGCGAGATATACGTGTGTTCTCTTGTTCGTCACGGTACAGCAGTCTCTTATTTCGTTTATGGAGTTTATTGTAAATTCTTCTTAGGAAGATAATATTACCTTAAACAGATTGAATCTACTTTCTTTTTTCTTATTTTTTTTTAACCTGTTCATTTTTATCCGTTAACTTATTTCCCCTTTATCACCTTTTTTTAACATCCAAGTTAATTCCATCGAATTATTCGAAATATAGAGACAATCATTTTTAATTATTATCGTTCACGTTCGCTCTAACAAAATGCAACTATGATGGACGACCTTCGGATTTAAACATAAGTTCTAAAAAATCTTTTTACACAAACAGAACAATCCGTACAATGGTGTTGGGTAACGAAAACGACTACTTGACTGGATATAAAAGAAATTCTGTTACGGAATGGTTGCAGAAAACGGGACAGGCAAAAAATGATGGTAATTTTCCGGATGCAATGTGTACACGTACTTGTTCTATTCTTACATTCAGGGATTCATAGCTACAGTGAACGTGTTGTAATTCATAACGATAAATTACATTGTAAAAATTAATTTACAGTTTGTACATTTATATCTCGCATTGGGCGAGATCGTTAACGAAATCTAAAGCGTTCCTCTTTGAAATATAATATCTCGACGGAGATGTATGTTGAAGTGATCGTACGTTTCGTTACAGGGAGTGAAAGTCCAGTTTATCGTCTGGAAGGTGGTGGAACAGGAGGTACAGGTGGTGGAACCTCCTTGAGACTCGCGCCGCATGAATTGCCTAATGAAATTTCTGCCCCCTACGAAGTTCCACAATTTCCAATTGAACAGATCGAGAAGAAGCTTTTGATTCAGAGGCAATTAAATGATTATATACAGTAAGTAATGCCGTTTATACCTTTCTACCTTTCTACCTTTCTACCTAAGTTACATATATTTAATAATATCATTTCACATTATATATTTTTATAGGTTATATACATACGTAATGTTTAGGTTAAAAGAAACGATTACTCGAAAATCCTTAACCATTTTCTCTACAATCCATCTAAATAACCATACAAGATTCTTTTTCTGTGTCATTACTCTGTGTTTTATATATCAGCAAATGTGGAGCTAGACTTAAGAACCAATATTTTGAAATGAGAAAATATATTTTTTTCACATTATATGTTGAAAAAGAAATAGGCGATTCTCGTTATGTTTGCAAAGATGAGACTATCACTTTAAAGAGTAAAAAGTATTATGTAATGTACTCCTACAATTAGTTTATGTTTTAGTATAGTTAGTATGTCACGATTTATTACAAAATATTTCATTTTTTTCCGACTTATCTATTTATTTTCGTGTTGCTCGTGTACATATTTAACTTTTCATCTCATTTGTCATTAAGATATTGCTTTTTATCTACGGATTGCATTCTAATTCTTTTTTCTTTCTACATTTTTTATAAATTTTATTAGACGTTATTAACCGTTAAAAATAACGATTGATTGAAATATCTACTTGCTATGTACTTTAATGTCAAATTAAATATTAACATACTTATTCACATTTAAACTAATAGCGATACAAATGATTTATTTTTACTAATTTATTTTCATTTACATTAAATCTCATTATCATACATCTCATACAAGTATCAATCTTGGTGTAATTTTTATGCGTCATGCGTAATAGAGAACGTGTAGTACGAAACAGATAATGTAATAAGATATTTTTATCTTATTAGAAATATATACATATAATAATATATATATAATTGTAGGAATATTGGGTGGGGTGGGTAATAGAATAGACGTAGCGTTGTATTCCAAGTAAGTCTTTATTTTCGTTACAAACTTACATGCGAACTTTGGGAGGAACGACGCTTCCGAGTACGTACCAGTGTGTACTTACGTATATGTTAACAGTGTCACTCCACACTGACTATTAGCACAAGAATGCCTCTTTTTGGGACGATTGGCAATATTTATACGAGAATTAGGAAATAAGTAGGGATTGTCTACAGATCGAAAGTTAAGAGGAGATAATGCAAGAAAGGTCAGAGTTGGAGTGAGAAATAGAGCGATAAGGATGAGTAAGGGATAAAAAAGGAAAGTTAGTCAGTTTGGAGTTTATCTAATGTACATAGATAAACACCTATAGATGACTAAACAGTCATCTAACAGTAGTTTAAAAATAGAAAAGTAATTTATTAAAACTATGTTCTCAACGCTAAACGCTAAACTCTCGCTGATTCGCAACTGACTCTCTCTTCTAACACTCTGCTCTCTATGCTCTCTATACTCTGTTTTCTTTCATATTCGCGCTTTCTTTCTCAATCACGCATTTCTCACGCACAACTCGTAGCTCCGCCCTCGGTGGGTCACGTATCCTTAACACTTGAACGCATTCCTAGACTTTTCACTCTTCACTTGCATTCGGCACTGCCGTAAATATTCCGTTCATACGGTTTTCCGCATGCAGAGGTATCCAGATATCAGCTTGAACGCTCGAGCCGAACCTGAGGCCGCTGTTTATTGTTACTTGTTTTCGAGTAACGGCTCAAGCGTTCACATGCACTCTACATTCACACCCACACAAAGGATACTGTCATTCAGGCGATGACCTCATACATTATATATATATATATATATATATTGTAATATGTATAATATGTATATATAATATATAATATTTAAAATTGTACTTATAAAAATTTTACTGGTGTTTCAAATTTTGATTATAGCGAATTTATCGCTTAGTTATCTGTTAGTTCGTAGAAGCAGAAGTACATATTATAGATAAGATATAGAAGGATTGATACTACAATACGTGAACATTAAACAGATGTACAAATACGATTGGAAAGCAAAGAAATGGATATTTAAAGAGAAAAATATTATCTTATCAGATTTGTTGCATGATATTATTTTGCATATATCGCTTTATTACGCTTATTAAATATACGTATACGATATGTGTAAAATAAAATATCGCAAAATGTTTTATAACGTTTTCTAATATAGCGTATCCTATGTTCATAAAGATTAAATAATCTTTACAGTGTACAAATTACTAACTTGTATCTACAAAGTCTACTTAATTTATTTACTTTAAAACATTATTCAAATTGTTTAATTATTCCACAACATTATTCTTCTATTTTTCAAGTATAGTCAATCAATGAATTTTTCCATCGTAGTTTCTCAAGCATAACTGATCAAATAACTTTACTATTTAACGCTTTTTCTTCTAATTATGAATTATTTAGACTGAATACGTTCGATAAATATTTACTAATTCGATCGACAGTCTTTAATCGTTTTAATCTTTAATTGCAATTATTTCTCAAATTATAGGTGGTTTCAAAAAATATTGCAAGTAGAACTTACATTATTCTGGAGAAAACATTTTATGCTCTTCACAAATCTTCAGTACATATAAGTGATCGCGCTTTCGAGATATCAAACTGATCTTTGCGCTTTCTTCTCGCGAAATTGTATGTGTTTCTACTTATAGTTAGATAGATGTACAAGGCGTCTCACGGATCGTTAGGCACGAGTTTTCAAGTACTTGCGATAATCTGGCAAAAAACTGTTTTTAACAGACGTTACTGTGCTTTCTGTGTTTTATATAATTCCTAAAAAAGAGAAAAAAAAAAAAAAAAAATAATGAAGGTCAAATTCGTTTTTTTAAATGGTACTTTATATTTTATACCCCGTATCTACGCATATGAAAATTGCAACAAAAAATGACAATCAACACGAATGGGTGATAATAACTCATTATTATTAAAGCCTTATTATTAAGGCTTGAATTTACGTTCACATCAGGAACCTCGAGTAAATGTTGTATTACTAGAACTTATGATAGCTTAGAATTAGCTTATCACTTTACGGACGGGCCACGTAGTTTGGAGAATATTGGTTGGGCACTTATGGTCCTATTGCTTGGTCGTTATGATCCCCAAATTTGTTATCACTTGATTTTGTTCTATGGGATCATCTGCAGTCACTAGTTTAAATAATAATTTAATAATAACATTTGTTAGATAATTCCATTGTTAGAACTCGGACGAAGAACATTATAGACCGATTAGTCTTTTCAATATATTTCGGAATGTTTCTCTATATACAATACGAGTTTTACAACAAGGCTACGTTGGAGAATACATTTATGTTCTATGAATCGGCGGAGAAGGAACTAACCCTGTACAATTTTCAGAAGTGCTTATATATTCTTACTTTTTGGAGGGATGATGACCATTGGCCCTTAGTGAAAGTAGAAAGTGAAGAAAGTAGGAGTGAGATGTTTTGAACTCTGGTGTTGGCCTATTTACGTTTATCGGCCAAGTCCTTTTAGTGCCTAAGAATAAGAGTCAACGGGTCGTTGGACATCCAATACCATTTTGTATAGGCGTATAGATCATTGTCAGACAAATTCATTCGTCTATAATATTTGATTTTTCGAGGTTGTTCGAGGTCATCCAGTGACGTTCAAATCACGTATATTTAGATATTTATATAATTTGATACACTAGAAAAGTTTTATTTTTCCCAATATTTATGTTATCTGTGTAAAAAGAGTGTAAGTGCATCCATTGCGATTCTCCTGGTTAAATGACTAATTTTAATTCTAATAATTAGCTAGCTTAATTTAATTATAGTAATTAGATAGTGAAATAATACGCAATAACATAACAAAATAGTCTGATTTATATGGCTTTTGAGCTTGTTTTAATCGCAAGTACTCCAACAGTGCATTGACACTATTTTTAAGAAGTTTGGATGAAAATTACGGAAAGTAAAATTTTCTTTACTACGTACTTACTTTTTTCAATAGCTAAATAATTATGATAATGAGAAAAGTGGAAATAATCCATCTATTTTTATTTATTTTCTTTGAAAATGGAAAATATCCACCAGATACATATGTATATTTCACTTAATTTTATCGATATTTTAATTAACTAAAGAAAACAAAAGGTGTAACATAATAACAGAAACAATAACAGAATAATAATAACATACTTCGAAGTCTTCAGTTCTTCTTAAAATTATTGCAATGTTTATGAATTTCACATGCGTATCTACTGTATCAAGATTGACTTTCTTAGTAAATCGAGAAAAATTAAGCAGTTTACATTTTTACCTATAAATTTGACCCGTTCATGGAAGAATTCCATAGAAAAATTCCATAGAAAAATTTCTATGAGAAAGCAAATCAATGACAGTGTCATGTTAGGTTTAATAGATTTAATAAAGAATTTTTTCTAAAATCTTTGGTAACAACATCGTACAATACTAATTCTCGTCTTTGAAATTAAATTTAATTTACAATTATATTTTTTTCTTACCAAGATATACCGTTTTATTACTTTTGCCGACAACGAGTTCCTATTATCCGAAGTACTCCCGAATATCACTCCAATTCTGTGAATATTTTGGTTTATACATACATTTGCGAACGCATAAAAAATACGTTCATCACATTTACCTTTGCTCGCGTTTTAATTTTGTTATCGTGAATGCTTCGGTCGAGGAGCAGAATTCGGAAGAAATATATATTCAATTTATTTCTGTGAATATTTTATAAGAATTAATATGTAATGTGAATATAAGAATATATACTTTTAACAGTGAAAGTCCACATCGTAAAAGAAATGTATTTTCCTTTTCGGCAAAAGTTAAAATCTTGAAGAGATTGAAAAGTGATGCAACAGCTGTTTCTCTACCTACGTTTAATATTGAAAAATTAACGGTATGCAACATTAGAAAAAGGCGAATCTAAAATAAATAAATAATGGCATAGGTAAATAAAGTGGCAATAAATGAGAAATGTGAAAGTATAAAGGAAATCATGTCAGTAGCGGAAAACCCTACTTTAGACACTG